ATACTCAACCATGGCGGTCTTGATCGACCCAAACAGTTCCAACAACTCAGCCCGGAACAACGCAACAACCTCCTCATGCAAGATCTCACGAATCCTAGCATCCAACTCGTATGTGCTCATCTGAACAATAACCTCGGGCGGTACTGACCCACCATGACCGCCCTCTCCTGCTCCCGATCCTAACCTGGATCCACTCCCAGCATGCCTCGTAACCACCATACTGAAAAACATCGCAAAATCTCATATACTTCCCACTATCCCGGGAACCAACCCCTAACCCAACCATAGAGGTTGTGGCTTCTTTGATACGTGTATGGGTCCTGTGCTTTCAGTAGTACGGGCCCATACTACCTTCCACACTTACCCATATATATATATATATATATATATATATATATATATATATATATATATATATATATATATATCAATTATCACCACAACACCCTAGTGAAGAACATACATAATAAGCACTCAACCCTCACTCCTAGAGGAACACTGGAAATCTCCCACCGAAGAAACCTTAGGCTATCAGGCAACATTATCATGAAATCATGAAGATCCCTAGCCTTGTACTAGCATTCTGTTCTATCATAGCTCAAAAACAAATATCATGTATGGTATTTTGGGGTTACTTACTGGCTCCGGCTGATCGTACCTCCGCATCCTCCTTTACTTATTTTGAAAACCATTTTAAATTCTCTTTTGAAAACTCTCCTTGATTTGAGACTGGATTCACACGAATGTTCCTCCAATTCACTCAAGCCAAGGCTCTGATACCAACTTGTAACGCTCTAAAAATTTCAGCCAATTTAAACTTTTCAAAAACAACCCAATTTCATTAAGTTATTACAAAAAGGTTTTCAATACGATTATTATCAGAGTCTTCTCAGAACCACATCATAAAACATAATCATGAGGAGCGGTACGATCACGCCTTTGCCTTGTCACGGTCTCCTGAAGAACCTGAAAAACATTAAACCCCAACTGTAATCCCGAAAGCTTAGGGAGATACTCCCAAAATACCAACCACATATACCATACACGCACAACATGCCATAACATAACAGAACACAGAACAACCATGCACTTCGGGTCTACTGTGTGACTGGTCCGCCGTATCGGGCCTTTAGTCCACCTGGTCCACCCTCCGAGTCTAGCCATATACATCGAGTCTACAGTGTGATTGGTCCGCCCGCATCGGGCCTTCAATCCACCTGGTCCACTTTCTGAGTCTACAGTATGACTGGTCCGCCCACACTGGGCCTTCAGTCGGCCTGGTCCACTCTCCGAGCCTCGGCATGTCTGGTCCGCCCTCTTAGGGCCTACAGCCTATCCGGACCGCTCGCTGGGCGTTC